AGAGAAATGCATCTAAGGAGTGTCCACAGGTTTTCTCTCTGGGCAGTTTGCCTCTGCCTCTGCTGATTGACTCTTTGGCTCTAGAAGTAGCAAATATCGTCTCCCCCAGAGGGCTGATGCAGATTTTCATGCCCTTTTCTTCTCTTACTTCCCCAAAAGAAGGATCTGGCATGGCTGATGTTAGGTTTTTAGGATGCTACTCTTACTTTCTCTGTTCCTCCGTGCACACATACTGTCACACAGTGATGTCTGTGTTCCTCCTGCCTCTAATGAGATAAGTAACATGATATTTTGTGTTCCTCTGCCTGGTTGCCTCCCTCTTACAAATCAGGCAGAAGCCGGGTCCATTTAGATGTGTGTGTTTGGATTTTGAGTGGTTGATTATTCGGAATCAGTACCTGGGATGGTCAACAGGAGGTTGTGAGCACTGTGGAGACCTGCCTTTCAGAAAGCGGGTGCTCAGCACCTGGAGGTCAGCTCTCTTGTCAGAATGGGTACCCTAAAACATAACGAGCCTTTTAAACATCTATGTGAGTTTTTGTGGGGTATCTTCCTACCGGGTTTGTTTGCATTTGCACACATGGCCTTGCATTAGAAACAAATACCCCAGACACACCTCCTTTTAGTGCTGTGGTGGGGATGCTGGCTCTATCAGTGCGTGTCTATATTACAAGGCAGTGCTGTGCAGAGATTTGAGCTATGGCTGAAGAGGCAGCTCAAGCTCATCCTGTGCTAATTAACTCCGCTGAGGATGAAGCCTGCCAGGCAGGGAGTGCTGACAGCCCTGCACTGTTCTCGTACTGAGGGACTTTGTTCAGCTCAGGTGTCCGCGCACGAAGCGCAGCGGGCTGAGCTGCCCAGGAGCTGCAGGCGCCGTTTGAACTCGCACGGAAACCCAGGTCACGTAGTGGGAATCGGTTCACTCCCGCAGACCGCTGGCAGACGCGCCGGCTCCCAGAGTTTGCTGTACGTTACCATGGAGAGCATTAGCTATTTCTGGTTTGCCTCTCCTTGCTTTTCCAGCAGTGGTGCTGAGGGCAGGGAGGAAAACCCGTGTGGTCAAGTAAGGCAGCCACTCTGAAATGCACAGGAGAGAGGAGTCTTGCTTGTGCTGCCTGTCCTCAGCCACCATCTGAGGTACAAGCACTTGTCAACCAGCAACAACACACAGGTGCGTTTGTGAAGATAAGCTCCCTGTGATAACTCAAGCCTCGCTTACCAGCTGCATGATGAATGGGTCCAGTTGTCCCAGCTCTGCACCAAGCAGCGTAGAGCCTGTGAATGAAGAGCTGCTGGGCATGCAGCCATCCCGCAGCGTAGCCGAGAGGGGCAGTGGATGCAATGCTAATTGCATTGCACTGGATGAACTGTTGTTGCCTGAGAAAAAGTCAGATTGGGCCCACAGTGTGGTGTTAAGTGTCAGATGAAATTCCACATTTCTGGGGTCAGGGGAAGGGAGCAGGAAGATGTCACCTGCTCTTCCTAGCAAGTGTGGAAATTCCAGCTACTGCAACAGGCAGGTGACATGAGTGCGTGTTCCTCCCGCAGAGCTGGCTGTGCAGTTCTGCTGTTTCATTTCAGACCTTAGACAAGGTCAAACAGGAGTTTGGTTAAGGAAGAACTGAAGCCAGGTTTACCTGCAGCACTGTTAAGCCTGACATCCCTAAGCATCCCTAAGCCTAACACTGCAGGGACCAGGATTCACCTCCATCTGAGATGGGCTTGGGCGGGTGCAGGTCTGCAAACACGTGGGGTAGTTTGGGAATGACTGAGCTAGGAGGTGGTGGGATGATGGGGGACAGCCTTCCTCTGACCTCTCTCCAATGAAAATCCAAGTCATGGGGAAGGGGATTAAATTAGAAGCTCTGATAACTCATTTCCCTTTAAAAAATAAATAATCAGATTACCACTGTGATTCCAGATTGCTAGTACAAAACGGAGCAGGCAGTCTTTGGAGAGGCAGTGTTTGGTTTCTGCACCCTCTGGCACTAAGGCTTCCCAAGCAGGCACCCAAAATGCCCAGGCCACTTGCAAAGGAAGAGCAGCAGAGCACCGAGTGCTGGGAGGGAAGGAGGCATTGCTGAAGCAGCCATGTGGTGCTTAGTTATGAGCCTCTTTTGACAGAGATCGTACTTCTAACAAGTGTTCACACGCAGACTTGATGTAAGAAGAGAGGGGCGAGGCAGAGCGGGGCTGATTTATCAGAAGATGAGAGAATTAGGAGGTTTCTTTGCAATAACAGTTTCATGCTTCCATTCCAGCTCACAGCGGTGCAGACCTTTGGAACCAGCTGACTGGAAGTTCAGCTTGCTTCAGCGTGTGTGTTTCGCCCGCTTTCAGAGCCGTGCCTAGATGTAAATCCATGGCAAAGCTGGCCCTGGAGCCTTGCAGCAGGCAGGATAGGGCCCTTGCTGCTCTACCTGAGGCTGAGCAGCTCTCACCGCTGTCGGCAGCCGCCGGCTCTGCCGTGGGTTTATGAAGTGCCGTTTCAGCTGCGGTCAGGGCTCACCTGTGCTTTGTCAATACCCGTTCTCTGCCAGTGCGGGGCTGGGGCTTTGAGTCAGCAGTGTTTCAGCACGTGCTCAATCATCCCCCAGCCCCTTACAGAAGTGGAGCATCTGCTTATTTTTAAGCCTGCACTTATGTATTCAGGGAGGGGGGGCCTGGAGTGGTATTGCCAAGGGATGGCCATGACCGGGTGCAGTAGCTGTGGCTGTTGCTGCCTACCCAGAGCTCCAGGTGAGCCCCTGCCAAGGTGCCTTCTGCTCTAACGCTTCTAAAGAGTGACGGCCCAAAACTGTAAATATGGGAATAAACACTCCCACAAGTCATCTGCTGTTAATTTACACTTGAATCAATTCATTTTAATCCAAAAACAGCAGAGTCTTTCAGCCTCTGAAGGCTATTGAATATTTTACTTGATATCATAACCAAAAGGATTGCAGGGCATGTCTTTCCCCCAACTGTTTTATTTCACCAAGAGCATTTAGTGCTTTGCCAAATTCTGTCTCTGAGGGTCACTGCAAATGTGTTCTCCTTCTGCTTTTCATATAGCACTGAAAAGTGAGCTGCGGTTGTGTAACTCGTTAACTATTCTGGCAATTTTAGCTTGGAGGCTTCTCTTTTTCAATGCGCACATAGAGCTTGCTCTCACACGCTTATCCCCCCCTAAAAGTATAAGTGGATGAGCAACCTGTGCAGTGCTGCCACAGCAGATTGCTACCTGAAGTAATGGGATTTCTCTGGGAAGCCAGAGCAAACGAAACAGCCAGATTTCTTTGGCGTCTTGATTAGGAGAGGCAAGCGGTCAGCCTTCCAGCTGTCACCATGGTCAGCTTTAAATGTGAAACCCTTTTTCCAGATCACTTTCCAATACGTTGTTTCCTATCTGAAATATCTGGTAGTCTGGGTGATCATTTCTCCGCGTGTCAGTAGTGGTAACCGGTTGCTTAACAACAGAGGAGGAGGTACAAAGCGAACAAGCTTACCCAAATCGCACTGGAAGTTACTTGATTCCTCCCTCTCGGTACTCATCCAGCCCACTGCAGCAGATGGCCCCAGGCAGCGTGTCCCTTTGTCTGATTTTATCATCTCTTTGACAAGCGTTTTCTCTCGTGGATGTGTCCAGGACAATGATCAGGGGCTGGACCTGGGTTTTGAAGAGCTGCCCAGCAAGAGGTGTAGCCGTACACAGGGTGAAATCCCAATGTGTCCCCCTGAGGGGCTGCAGGGATGGAGGAGGTTGTTTGAGTACTCCAGTCCCCCATGAAAGAGGTCTCAAGCATTGCTTGACTCCACTCACAAGCTAGACTGCACACGCTAGAATTACATCTGAAAACAGCAAATGGATGCTGCGTGATTTGTGATGTCTTCATTTATCTTTCTATTTTTTGCCTTAATGTTGAGGAAGGACCTTGGTAGGAAACTGTAATATTACGCAGCTGGCTATGAGCACTGTTGGGCTCAGTGTCTTCTGCCATGTTTGATTCCTAGCAGCTGCTCAGCGTTAGTTAATTATCTCCTTAGAAGAGGGATTTCTATTTTTACAGGATGACCAGGAGGCTGATGGAAACGTGCAAGAGAGCAGAAACCCAAATATTTAGGCAGACCTATAAAACACTTCCCATAGCCAGCACCACAGCTGCAGCTAGGGCTGAGCAGTCTCTGTTTGCTGTCTGGGTGATACATTTTTCTGAAGGGGTTAGTTGGTGGAACAGCTTGAAGCGAGCATCGCCCTGAGTCACGCTGCAGCACAGACCTGCACTGAAAACCAGCAGCGGGGCAGTTCTGCTTCACGGAATTATTCCCAATTGGTTGTTCTTGTCCTCACGTTGGGTGAAGCCTTATTCTGCACTAATGTTACCTTGGTCCCCATCTAACATAGGGCGCTGCGGACTGTGCTGTAGTGGATGTCCTTACAGGCACAGGCAGAGACCTGTTGTCTGTAGCAAGGGGCAACTTTCTGGGAGCAGAAAACCCCGCTCACTTGGGTGGCTGTGGGTCTCACCCCGGCTTTCCTTCCTCCCTGAACACGTTCCAGGGCTGTGGAGGGTTCAGCCAGTGTTCCTTGGCCGGCACGTGGATGCTCAGCACCCCCGTGGTGAGCACCGTGGGCCCCGAGCCCGTGACAGCACAGCTCATGCACTCAGGATTTAAAAAATACCTATAGTTGTTGCTGCAAAGTAGGAAGTGAAGTCCAGCCCCGCTTGATCTTTCCTTTCCTTTTAGGCTTTTTCATTAATAGGCACATGTAAGTGATTAACGCAGCCGCGTGTGACTGTTCCTTGTTGTTTGTGCAGCCCTCAACATGTGCTTTATCTTCTGAGTACGAGGTGGATGTGTTTGGCATTTCGTCCACGAGGGACTTTGCCAGCCTGGCCGGTGCTCAGCCACACTGGTGTCACGCCACCACAGCTGCGGCCACAGCTCCCAGCTCCCCTGGGACTGACACTGTTGGAGGGGCTCGCTGGTTTTATTCTGCTAATAAACCCTATTTTAACCTGTGGCCTTACTAGTCAAGATAAGCTGGTTCTTTGTGCTATACAGATACAATCTTTGCTTCTCTTCTTCATTAACAGCGATGCCTGACAGCTGTTGGTGCACGTTTTGTCTTCAGCATGCTCTTTTGACCCCCCCAGGTCCCTACCATCCATCAGCAAGTCCAGATGGATCCATGTCAGATGCCAAAACTGAGGATAGAAGGGAAAATCAATTAAAATCGTAGGAAAACTTTCAATATACCTAAAGAAACCCTGTTTTCTTTGAAAAACATTTAACAGAAAGTTGGATCTAGGTTCCATATTCTGTCCAGCTGGCAACCAGTTCACAAAGTCATCCAAAAAACTGTACTGAAACCATGTTGTTGACAACGCTAATCATTTAACACATCACACAAGTTAAAAAGTAATGCATATATTACAGAAAAAAAATGCATCATAAGGTATACATTTTATGAAAGTCCAGGTTGGATGGGGCTTGGAGCAAGCTGCTCTAGTGGAAGTTGTCCCTGCCCGTGGGAGTGGGTTGGAACTGCATGAGCTTTAAGGTCCCTTCCAACCCAAACCATTTTATGTTTCTGTGATTGTATGAAAATTACAGGAAATTAAGATTGAATGTGTGTGTAGGTATAAAGACAGTGAGAAATGCTGCCGGGTGCTCAAGTGAATTTCAGGCAGATTTTTAGTCTTGAATCACAAAGAAAAGGGACACGTTGCACTCATCTTGGGGTGAACAGGAGCTTAGGTGCATGTGCCTAATTCATCCATCTCTTGGCAGGTCACACAAAACTGAACAAATCTGAGCTTTGGACATGGCCAGTCCCAGAGGCTGTGGGTGAGCCACTTGCTGTGTGGCTGACTCTTACCTTGGTTACTTTCTATGCCCCTTTTCCCTTGATGGGTCTTTTTGACCAGACTTACACCAAAACGCTGCTGTATGCTAAGGCACACTGTGGCTCAGCAGGGGCCCTGAAAAGACTGGTGGCATTGCTGGATCTCCTCAGGGTTGTTTGCATAACTTTTTACGTGCTCTTTAGATTCAGAGTGCTTGTTTTGATCTTTGTTTTAATAATACTTTGAAGTGTTGGTGCATGACGCAGTTTCCTACAGCCTCGTAAGAGGTACAAGATGATTAAAAAAAAAGTATTGTTGGTTTTAGGATTGGTTGTTGGGTTTTGGTTTTTTTTCTTTTCCTAAAAAGACTGGTTTTGGGGGAAAAAATGCTGTATCTGTGAGGAAGATTGGTTCTAGGTCTATAAAAGCTAAGCATGGATGCAAGCTTGGGCAGTGCTACACTAGAAGGATGGATAACACAGGTCCCGCTGGAGCAGGGAGCCCCTCCAAATGGAGCAGCAATGTGGTAGTATACAAGAGCATTTAGTGGAAAATGTACCATAACTTAAATTATTTGGTTTATTTCTTTTTGTGGCTGGGGGCTGGAAGTCTGGAAACTATTTAACATTTCCCATATCCCTCTGTTAACCTATGGGAAGAGCATCACTGAGCGATTGGGAGCTGGGGAAGATCCACTGTGTGCAAAAAGCCATGGCAGAAACTAAATGCCTAGTCTGGAACATTCTTGTGCTGGCAAAACCAAGATGATTATGGTTTCTTTTCTAGTTTATGTGCTCCTGGGGCATGAGTAAGCAGCTGGCAGTCTATAGTCCATAAAAAGGCAGGTAAGCATTATTAGAGGTTAAAGCACAGTAACACAGTTACCTGAGCTTGAGTATCACAGGCTACCATGCCTGTCCTCTTACCCTGTTCTGAGCTTTCCCAGTTGGAGACACCCACATTTCTTTGCAGTTTGACCCAAAGCACATCTGTGCTTCCCCAGGCCTCTCGTGTGGGTTCATCCTCCAGGGCTACACCTAAGAAATACAAGGAAATCTAACAGGCCTGATAATATGGGAAAAGGAAGTCACGCAGCTTCACAGTGCTTAAAGCAAGCCTCACATTAAGTAGCCTACTGCACCGGTCTGAAAGGACAAATGGGGTCTCCCCATCAAAAAGCTCCTCTTTCCTGTCTGTTGGACCACAAAAACCATGCTGAAGAAACACAGAGCAACACCTGGTTCTCCAGGGGTTGTTTTTCAGGTTGCTAGAAGAGGAAAGTAACTGTTTTAACCATTGCCAGTGTCTCACAGCAGCATGCAGGTCACTGCACACCTATTAAATTAAAATCTTTGCGCAAAAGAAGCCTTAAAATGTGAACTTGTGTTTGTGTTTAGAAACAATACTAAGTGGTAGAGATGCATGCTGGAAATATAGAGTAGAAGCAGTTGTAGTTTAATAGCTGGAAGGCATGGTGATGGGCAAAGCACCAACCTTTAACCATCTGTGCCCAACACCCAGAGAACAGGGACCCCAGGGTGACATGAGCCCCCTTCTCCCACCTCCATCCCCAACTTGGTGGCCCTGTTGTGCCCATTTTAACTGACCAGGGAAGTGTCTTTCTGCTCCTTTTAGCCAAATACGCTCCCTCTACAGCATAGGGATGGGAAACCATAAAGGACAAATGAGATTTGATACACCCTGCCTGGGTCCTTCACTGCCACTGGTACCCAAGAGTACATTGTCAATGCCAGAGAGCTCTGATCTTGTTTCTTGGGCTTCTGCACATGATCTGCCCTCACCCAGAAGCTGCTGAAGCTGCTGCTTTTGGTATACATCACCTCGAGTGCTGCTGTCTAAGGCAGATCCATGGCTTATCTACTCTGCCAGCTGGACCTGCTGTAAATGCAATGAACCATAAATATCCTTTTCATAAATTAGAAAAGTTTCCACCTAAGCATAAGTGTGATGTCTTGCTCCTCTCCTTGCTCTGGGCAGCTGGTTGACTCTTTGGAATGAAGTGATCAGGTATTCTGGAAATTGAATGAATTTCCAAATGCAGGCGGGGTCACAGAGTAATTCTAAGACGAGGAGTTAAACTTGCTTCCTTTTCCTTCTTATTCAAGCTCATTTTCATTGTATACAGAGCATATCTGAGATAAACTTTGCAGTAAACATGCATCAGTACCAGATTCTGCAAGGAAGCACATTTTTGTCCTTTCTTTTTTCCTTAAACAAGGGTTTTTAATGGACCCTTTTCTAATTCTCAAGGTCACTGTTAAATATTTTGAATAGTTGGTCAGATGCCAAACTATTTTCTTTGCCTGCCTTTCTCCCCTTGGAGAATTACTGCAGACAATGAAACGTGGCATCTTCAACATTAGTGTCAAAGAGAAACCTACCATGACAAGCAGTTTTGTGTCTCAGGAACTTGGCTAAAATTTTATGTTGTATTCAGTAGGATAAAGAGTCTCACGGTGCACTAAATTGCTTAATCACTGCAGCATCCTTTATGCAATTATTATATTTTAGCTTTGATTTAATAGGGAAAAAGAGATCACGTTTTCTGTCTTTTGTATTAAATTTGGGCTGAAACCATCTGCAGTCCTCAGAAATACCTGGATGAAGCAACTGAATACAGTAATAACACTTGGTTGCCCTTGTGCAATTCCTGTGAGCACATACTGTGACGTGAGGGGAGAAGAGTCCTTTTGGCAAAGTGGGGCAGCACAGAAGCTTGTGTGTGACTGCCCTCACTTCAGCCAGGTTTCTGAACCCGTGTGGTGCACGGGCAGTGCGGAACCAGCCCATGTGAAACAGCATTTAGAGCTGCAGAACAAATCGTGCACGTATCGGTGTCTGCACTGAAGGCAAGTGGGAAGTGTTGCTCTTTGCTTTTCATCTGCTCCCTCTGGTGCTTGAAAATTATGTTTAAACCTGCAAATTCAGATTCTCAGAAAAAAAAAAAATATGGGTTTAATACAGTCTTAGCTTTTTTAGCTTCACAGCTTTAGCTGTTCCAAATGCATTTACCCGATGAGTTTATATGTGACTGTGTTTGTTTGGAGGCAGCATATTTTGGCTCCCTAGATATTATCTTGCAGTGAGGATCAGCATTTCTGAGCATGTATTTCTACAACAAGTAAATAACGTGGAGGGGACAGTGAAGTTCACACATTTATCAGGTGGTTGCATAGAGCCATCACCCAGCCCCAGAGGTAGCTGGAGCAATGCCTTCTTGGTGCTCAGGGCAGTTTTGGGGTATTGGCATGGCTATAAACTGGCAAAGCATTAACAGGGAGACAAAAGGCGGTGTCTGCAAACCTGGCCAGCTCGAAACCTGGCTGCTCTAAACAGTAATGCAGAGGTGGTGCTCATGAAGCATATTGCTGGGATGTTATTTCTTTACGATCCCTTTTCTGGCCTATTCAGTATTTGTTTTACACAGCTGCCTCCAACATCTGCTTTTCATCTCTGCTCTTTATCCATGTAGGTATTCAAAAATGCCTTTCTTCTTTCAGCTGCTTCACGTGTCTGTCTTGTCGATGAAACATGCAGCTAATTGAATAAAAAAACCCTCTTTTTAAAGGAGGCTATCGCATACTTTGCACACAAATAATTAAGGGAATAATGACAGCTGCCTTCCACATAAGGGAAAAAGATGGGGGAAAACAGCAAGGTGAGCCTGAAATTTCTCAGGATTCTGAAAGCAGGCTAAGCCCATTGAGAACTTCTCCCACTTCCCTACCTGACAGCTTTTAAGCTGCTTTTCGAGCCTCCAGCCTCTCCCTTCTTCACTTGGGGCAATTAGGACCCAGGCTGTGGATCAGACTTTGAGCCCAGGATCCATCTCCAGAGCATTGGGCTTCCTGGGTGAGCAGCTTCTTCTGGTTAAGCATCTAGCCGTAACGTCAGAAACCCCCGGTTCTTTGGCTGCTGTCATCGGTTGGCATGAAACCATTGCTGAGCAGCCCTGCTGCCCTGTGACAGCGGGACTTGGCAGCTCTGCCTTACCCAGCCGTGATCAGGAGGTTTGCAAGTGCAGGGGGCTGTGTTTAAGCAGCTATTCCACACCAGTTTCAGCCTGCAATTGTCTTCCCTTCCCTTCTCCTCCCCAAGAAACACGAGGTTGTTGCTTTTGGATGAAGGAGACCGCAGCGCTGAGGCATTTCTCGAAAAGCAAATACAACTTCTGACCTCAGCAAGGAGCAGAGTTTGCCTGGATTGAAGGTCAGCAACTCCAGGAGATGTATGGGCTAGAGGCACTGATGGCTCCTCTTTCTGGTGCTCAGTACAGCCTCCTCGGAGAAAAGCCCTTTTTCCTCTCAGAATATCCCTCTCCTTCTGATGTTTTCCCATACTTTTTATTTACCTCCTTGAACAAAGCTTGCCCTTTGAATAATATCCCTCCATGCTGCGTATCTGTACTTCTGTGGCTGAGCTGCTCCTGCGTCCTGAATCAGCTATGGAACAGGCAAATCTGCATTTTCTCACGTACATATCAACTGTGAGGGTAGCCACTAAGTCCCACAACTGACTTTTGTTCGGCAGAAAGCAATCCCACGTTCAGGTGGGGTGGTCTGAAGCAGAACCAACGCTTCCAGCCTGGAGGGCAACCAGGGTTTGCATCCCATCCTCCTCCTCACCTTCCTCTGAGCTACCTGGAAAAACAGGGCATTGTGCGAGGAGACTGGGAAAAAGCTGCCAGGTCATGGCTTTGTCTGATGTCTAAAAGGCATTCAAGGTTTCAAGGAGAGAAAGATAGTTGGGATTGGGGTCTGCAAGCCCCGGACGTCCCGCAAGCAGCTCTGCAGTAGAGCAGCGTTGAGGGCCGTGTGTGCCGGTATTCATGCTAGGAATGCCAGCAGGCAAAGGAAAATCTGATGTGTTTATGCATGTTTGTAGATCTCAAAATGTAAACTATGGCACACTATCTGCTTATGGTGTGACCTCTCAACCTGAGGGTTTTTTCCTGTTCTGGGGTGAATTCCAGCAGACCACTGTGCTGCTGTGTTTACAAGGAAGATGCCTGCTTTCCTTGTTCTCAAGGCCACAGCATGTCTCGTTACAAACCCTCTTTGGGAAAAGCGAGCTAGTTAGCACTGCTCACCCCAGTGGAGCTGCAGCGGGTAAATATTCCTACTGCACTGCTGAAAAAGAAGAAATGAACTAAAATAGGATTCAAATCATCATTTGCTGCCTCCTCTGTTTATGCATCTGTCCTGAATTTTGAAACCTCAAGGTGCTTGGTTAACTCTATCCAAAACCAGGGAGGAGGCAGCCCCTTGCAGCAGAGCCCTGGGTAATCATTTCTGAGCACCAGGAAGGATTTAGCCCGCTCTGGGACTCGGCTGGCAGCCGGACAGGCAAACCATCATTCCAGAGGGATGCTGGCTCCCCACCGTGGCAACAAGCATGATTTTAGCTGGCGAGCGTGTGGGTGGAGGTTGGAGCAGGGTGGAAAGGCGATGGGTGCCCGCTGGCCTTGGGGTGCCGGTACCCCAGCGAGCTCCATCGCCCCTCCAGCAGCTGCTGTTACAGGAGCTGTTTCAGCACAGGGCCAGGGTAAATCGCAGTTCCTGTAAATGACAGGCAGGGTCCAACACTTCCCAATGGTTACCCGTCTCTGTAAACAGACTTCTGTGTGCCTGGCCACAGATCAGAGCCACGCTCATCCGTCTGTCCAGCTCTGCAGCAAAGCTCCACAGCATATGCAAAGAAAAGCCAAAAACAATATGTTTATGAAATCCAAACATCACAAATACGCTTTATTTACACTGCTGACACTGAAAGGAGAAACAGATGCTTCTGGTTTGGGTGCCTGTCCAGTCTCATTTCAGGAAAGCACCGAGATCAGAGGGAGAGAAAAAGGACAATCAAAATGTACAGTCTATCACATCTCCTGTTGGAACGGCCGGAAATCATTCATGTGCTGCTACAGCAAACGGAAGGGGCTCAGCTTTACCAAACACCAGGCTGTGCCCCGTGGTGCGCTGATGCCGTGAGTTGTATTGCTGGCAAACACCAATCCTGTGAAACAGCCCCGTGTTACCGGAGAACCGGAGGAATCCCAACGCAGGCCCAGCAAGATGGGCAGTGTGCAAGCTGCCACAGGGGCTGCAGTTCAGCGGTGTCCAGTGAAGGAGCCCGTGGAGCTGAGTGTCACGGAAGGCAGCCCAGAGCCTGCTCCCAGGCGTGCAAAGGCTGCGACCAGGAGAGCGCTGCAAGGTGCAGACGCCTTGTACACAGCTCAGATGGGCCCTTGGCACAGGGACTTTTGCTGCATAATTGCCTGTATTGCCCTAAAAGGTGGAAATATGACACGAAGCAGCACATCAAGCAGTGCTGACACACTGACTGTCTGACTGAGCAGCGCCAGGAGAGACAGGGTCCGAAACATGGGTCAAGGCAAGAGCCAGCCTCTTCATAGCCCTGTCACCTTTTAGACCAGGCATCTGGCAGGGTTTACATAATGAGATTGAAAACCCTTCCCAGAGCGCTGATGGTGCTGGAGTGCTCATGTCTTACAGGCACATCCCTACTGAGTACTGACCAGCACCATCAGACCAGCCTAAGCCTCTGCTCAGATGCTCTCACATCTGTGGCGAGTCGGTTCTGCACAGCCCTGGGCCTGTCTTTTCTTCCTGAGAAGCTGCTGTGAGGACATAAATGATTTGCTGCGGACTCAAACACTGTGCTGTTTCACATGCACTATTTATTGCTTTACTACACAATCTACCAGCACATGAAATCTGACAGGAGTGAGCGCATGCTGTCCCCATCTTTGGGAACTATCCCAAAGCCCTGAGTTAAGTTTTAATTACGTCTCATTCCTCTAAGACAAAGAGGTGGAGAAGGCAAACAAATAATGTTTTGGACAAAAGCATTGCTCACTAAACCCCTAACAGGGACAGCAATGCCTGCGCTCCCTCTCCGATCCTCCATGCTGGCACCAGCCTCAGCAGGCAGCTGCCTCGCTGCAGGGCTGAGCCTGCACCAAGCAGGATTAAAACATGAAAACAAATAGCACTAAACATGAAACAAACCCCAAAATGCCAGGAAATTAAGTCATCCATTGTATGAGGTGAGAAGCTTTTACCCTCACACAGCATGGTGGCTGGAGGGGACCAGTGCTGGCAGCTGGGAGCATCACTCACCCCGCAGTGGTTTGATTGGATATGGCCCTTCCACATCCCTGCTGCATCTTCTCAGCCCTGTGTGCCTCGGTGCAGACCAGTGCTAACAGCTGGGAGCATCACTCACCCCACAGTGATTTAATCGGGTATGGCCCTTCCACATCCCTGCTGCATCCTCTCAGGCCTGCGTGCCTCGGTGCACTGCCCAGCTCTCGGGGCTCGGGCTCCTGGTGCCGCATCTGTACCTGCAATCTGTTTTTCCCCTGATTATTGGAAGATGTATGTGCAGGATGCTGGGGGTGCTGGGTCATGCAGCTGGAATCGAGCACTTTTTCTTGCAAACATCATGCTGTGGGGTGACTTCCAAGTCACGGCGTCATCTGATACCCTGGTAAGCTCCTGTTAAATTGAAAACCATATGTCACAGTGGAGCTTTGACAGGCCATGCCCTGACTGCATGACCCACATTGCTCACGGGTTCACACCCCTTGCAAAAGCAAGGTGAGGATTCACATAAACCTGCTACAAACTGGTTATGTCTGTCCTAGTGCTGACTACTTGCTCCGAGTACCCAGTACGCGCACACCTACGCTCTGTGATGAGCTACCTGCCACTGCTCCAGCGTGGCCTCCTCAGGTGAGCAAAGCTGGGCAGGATGCTCCTGTCTTCCCTGTGCTGTGTAATGTTCATTCATCGCAAGAGATCGAAACTCTGTGCTTTCTTTTTTCCTGCAAACACCTGTTACTGATCATTTCCCCAGCACTAATATTCTGACGCTGGTTGGTGGGGCTTTGGCTGTGTTGATGGCTTTGGCAGAAGGCTGTGTGCAGGGGGGTAGTTCATCACGGTCCTGGGGTCACCTTTATGGGAGCAAAGAGGGACTCTTTTCCCTGTGGAAAAGGCATTTTGAGAAAAACAGTCAGATGAGAGGGAATATTTAGGAATGAAAAAGGGGAATGAAAAAAAAACTCATTTGGCAACTAGAATCGGGATCCTGTGACGCCGTGGTTCTTTTTTTTTAGGTGGCAATTTTTGTTTTCAGTTTCCAGATGAAAAGAGAAAAAAAAAATAAATTATGCAGGGCTTTACTTAGTTGAAAATTCAGCTTTTCTTTTCAAAGAAACTCCAGAGAAGTTGCAGTCAGCCATGGTACTGCACAGACCTTGATAGTTAAACATAAGCTCACGCATCATGAAACAGAACATGCGTGCTTTCAGCTACTAAAGTTTCATGATCTAGGTCTTTTGCAAGTAATGCACATTGATTTAACACAGTAATAACACAACGATAACCCAATAATAACAATTTAACACAATAATAACACAACTTGATTTTCAGCTGTTTCCTATATATTAATTTCCTGTCATTAGATGGGGGAGCTGAATACGCTCGATGAGCATTAAAATGGAGGAGATACAACAAAATGCAGGTTTTAAGAAGCAAGGTTCTAATATTGACACTGGCACAGGTTGCCCAAGGAAGCTGTGGCTGCCCCATCCCTGGCAGTGTTCAAGGCCAGGTTGGAGGTGGTTTGGAACAACCCTCTCCAGTGGAAGGTGTCCCTGCCCGTAGCAGGGGGTTGGAGCTGGATGATTTTAAGGTCCTTTCTAACCCTTTCACCCATTCTGTGATTCTAATACTTTTGGGTTTGCTTTTAAAATAGACTTTCTTCTGTAGAAGTTGTGCTTTATTGTCCTTCCCCTTTTCCCCTTGGGGTTCCCCTTTTGTTCTCAGAGAACTGGAAGAGGCTCACAAATACCAGAAGTCAGAAAGCAAATGCAAGCAGCAGAAAATGAACCCACATTTGGGCTAAAAGTTTAAAAAAAGGAGGCGTCTTAGACCAAAGTATGCGTCTGTCCATGTTCAGTATTAATTTCCATGACTATCAGTGTTTACCACAGTCTAAGTGGGACAGATTGATTCTCCAGCAGTGGCTCTATAGTCATGTTAATTGCTTGCCCTAACTCAAATAATCTTGGGGGTAAAGGAGCAGAAAATCACTCCCAGTGAGATTTGGCGTAGCTGCAGCATGCAAGGGAGAGCTCCCACACCCAAGTGTGAATAACTGGG